AGTGAGCAGGAACAAGAACAGTGAGTGGTGCTGAGAAGGAAAGCTTGGAGAGGGGCACTTTCCATAACATGACAATTTAACTTGATGACAGACTTCTCTGGCTAAACTAACCACATCTGCTGGCCACATCCATCCCGTACACTGCCAGTTGGCAACCCACAGTATGGGAGAGAAAAAGAAAAAAATCCTTTCTCTGGAAGCAACTCCAAAGTTGGCTATATTCTTGAATCAGTACCTGTCAGGATAAACAAAAACCCTTTCTTCTTAAGAAAGAAAGTTCCGTACTGCAGCAAATAAATGGAAGCTAAAAAGAAAACCAGGTATGAAGAGTGTGATTTAAGAATTTGCTGTCTGTGCATAAATTTAGGGTGGTGGCTCTTGCGTGGAAGAGAGATCTCTGAGCTGCTACTTTAAAGGATGCTTGGTGACCTACAAAGGTAACACAACTCAATAACATCAGGCACTGATGTTCTCATTGTGAAGCGGATCCCGAGATGCAAATGCCCCCTGATCTTCTACTGTCTGATTTAGGTCCCTGCTATATGCCTGTGCGTAGTCTGAACAGTCTATTCACTGAACAGTTTTACAGTAACAACAAAAGTAATAATATGTTGGTAATATTGTCAATGTCTACCCTGGAGAATATCAGTGAATCGTGAATATGGATTTAAATACAATACGTACAAATAACAATAGCAAGCATTTATTGAGCAAGTACTATGTACCAGGTACTACTTAAGGCTCTTTACAATAATTAACTCACTTAATTCTCATAACTTGTAAGATACCATTACTCCTGCTTTTCAGCTTAGAAAACTGAGACACAGAAGGCTACTTGCCCAAGGATAGCCCACTGGGAAATAAGATTCACACTGAACCAGTGTGGCTTAGACCTGTGCTTATAGTCTGTCTGAAAAATGAATCTTTGTAGCAGACTGATGGTAATTTTTAGATAATAGAAATCTTTTGTAAATCACAGAATTTGATTATTACTGTGCTTTCAAAGGTGTCTTGATTACCTCTCATTTATTAGGTACTCACTGATGCATAAATGGACAAAAATGTCATAGAGGAAGACTATGATTGCCATGGTATTAAAGATAAATTTGGAATGATGCTCAGAGCATATATTCTAGAAAACTTTTAGAGGATTTGGGGAAAACTATGTCCAGGTAGTATCTTTACACATGTGACATATGATAATATTGGAGAAAGGGCTTGCCTGGTTTGGGAGTAATGTCCAAATACTAATTCTTACAACAATGAGGGGTACTGCTTTACTGCTTTACATCCCATTACCATACTTAGTGTGAATGAAATTGAAGAGTGGATATCGGTGGAAAGTTCAAGCATAGATACTGTTTTGAATTGTCTTAAGAAATCAAAGGGCAATAGCAGTAACTAGAACATTCTACAACTATTGACTGGTAAGATATTTAGCTTTTGGGGAAGTCCTAAATTAGCCTGGAATCATTTTTAAATGCAGTTTTGTAATTTCAGTGATGCGTTACATGAAACTCAAAGAGCCACAAAATAATTCACGTGTAAGCGAAGAGTGTGTTGGTTTAAAAGATGAGCCTGCATTCTTCTCCCTTTACCCAGATAATTCTTAATCATCGTTGAGATCCCAGCGGAAATGTCTCTTTTGTGGTTTTGCTTTCCTTGATACCCTAGATGAGGTTAGACTTACCAATACCCCAACTTCTACATGCTCCTAAAGAGATCTATATTTTCCTTTCAAGTTAAATTTTAATCTTGGTGAATCACTTAAATTATGATTTGTTCATACCTCTTTTCTTTTTGAGACCATAATTATATTTAACAATTATTGACTTCTTATCCTATGTAGCTCTTTTCTCATTGCTTTGGACAATGTGTGGCAAAGTCCTCACTGAATCCCAGGAGTCTAATAGGTATTTGTGAATGAATAATGCATGAGGAGTGAGTAAATGAATGAATTATTTGACTAATTCTCACCTCACTAAGTCACCCCTGGCCCAGCAGTGTACTGTGTACCTTTATGTTACAAATCATTTAACTTTAATTTTGCCTGATAGGTGAAGTGTCCCAGGAATTTGTAAAGATAAAACTGTGCTTTTGGAGGTTCTCCTACTGCTCCCCCACTCGCTAAGAGTCAGCAGCTGGAAAAAGGTTCATTTTTGTTTTTCTTTGTAACTCTAGAGGAATCCTGAATGAGCCCTGCCAAGTAATCTCAGAGACTGAGCCACAGATAGACAAAGATGGAGAACATACAGCTCACCCGCAGAGTACTGTTTCTCATCACTAACTGTGCTTTCTCTCAGTCCTGGCTTTTTATGCTCAGGATTCTGGGAGAAATTTCACCTTCCTTCTTCCTAAGGGATATCCAGTTTCCTGGTCTGGGAGCTGAGAGCAGAATTAGTCAATTAGAAGGTTAACACATAATTGTAGATACTGGGTGTTTGGAGACGACCCTTGACCATTTGCTAGTTAACTGAATTAATATTGGCCAGTTATAGATTTTCTGCTTGCAAAATTGCCGGCAGATTTTTCTGACTCCTGGGTCTGCATTCTGTGTATGTGCCACTTGGGATGCCAGCATGATGATTGCTTTCAGAGTGATCTAACCAGAGCCTGCTCTCAAGACAAGGGAATCCATGACTCACAAGCGGAACCGCACAGATACTGGACCACAGCATTCTTTTCCCTTTGATTTGAGGGAGATGATGTTGGTCAGGGTGGTAACTCACGATTTCCATTTCTCTGATGGTGTTCAGGTCAGCCACACGGTGAACCTCTTGAGATTGATTCTTGCTCCCTTCTTTGGGGTTCAGTGCCTTTCAGAGGGCTGATATTTAGAGAGAAGCCCTGGTTCCACAGCTTCCAACCTTTTGACACTGCTTTGAGTTCTCTGGTGGGGATGATAATGAATTTTCTTCAACTGTCTGTGTGCGGTGGTTAGGATTTTGCGGTCTGATATTGAAGTTTTGTTTTCTAAGAAACAGACACATAGTAGAGGATTTGAGTGCAAGTAATTTGAGTGATGGCAGAAATTGGTTTAAGAAAAATACTAGTTGGGTGCAGTGGCTCACGCCTGTAATCTTGACACTTTAGGAGGCCGAGGTAGGTGGATCACTTGAGCTCAGAAGTTCAAGAACAGCCACATAGTGAAACCTCCTCACTACAAAAAAATAGAAAAATTAGCTGGGCATGGTGACTAGTGCCTGTAGTCTCAGCTACTTGGGAGGCTGAGGTGGGAGGGTCGCTTGAGCCCAGGATGTTGAGGCTGCAGTGAGCCATGATTGAACTCCAGCCTGGGCAACATGGCAAGACTTGGTCTCACAAAAAAAAAAAAAAAAAAAAAGAAGTTTTAAAAGTTAAAAAAAAAAAAAAAATAGAAAAAGTACGAATAGGGAATGAGGAAATAAGTCAAGGAAGAGAAGGCAGGTAATGAATGTGAGTTATCAAACCAGATACCCTGGTGGACATTGGCGCTCAGCCCCAGGTGGAAACTGGGAGACTAAAATGCGTCTCTCCAAGTGGTCTCACCAGAGGGGTAAGGGAGTTGGGGTATTTACATACCATTTCCCATCAGTTATTGGTTAAGGGCCACTCCCAGGATGTTAATTTTCAAACACTGTTTTCTGGCACTATGTTCAGATAAAATACCCTTCCACAAGCTTTAGAGACATATCTCAGATGAAGAAAAAAAAAAAGCAAAGTCTTGCACATTGACACAGAAGGTCTGAGGGGAATGGGTAGGGCTTTGACAGAGTGCCTTTCAGGACACTTGAGCCTAGAGTCAGATGCTGGCTGCACCCATTCTAACCGTATGATCTTAGGCAAGCTTATTAACCTTTCTAGAATTTTGGATTCATCTTCTATAAAATATACCTTATAACAATACACATTTCATAGGCCTGCTGTGGAGATTAAATTAGATGATGTATATGGTGAGTTTAACACAGTAATTACCAAATAATAAGGGCTCAAAAATGGTAGCTTTCATTTAAGTGTTATGGAGCCTCTTCTCTGTCCCTGGATGTGTGGTAGGTGCTCAGTAGAACTGGTGGTTGGTTGTGGTGGGGAGGTAATCCCTGTTTTTATGGGGTTGTAGCCTTTGCATACTAAACCTTAAGACCATTTCTTATTTCACTAAGTTACACCTTGCCCAGGAGAGAGTCACTTACATTCCATACATTATGTTCCAAATCATGTAACCTAATTTTTTGACCGTTGGATGAAGTGTCTCAAGCATCTGCAAAGACAAAACTGTGCCTTTGAAAGCAATTGTAAATTTTAAGTTTTATAGTAGCCAAGTTTACAAAAGGAAAAAGAAACTGATGACATTAATTTTAATAACATATATTTAGCTTCATATGTAAAATATTGTCATTTCAATATGTGATTAATATAAAATTATTGACTATTTTACATTCTTTTCCTTATTTAGGCATCAAAATCCAATTTGTATCTTATACTTACAACATGTCAATTTCAGACCTATGACCTTTAAAGTACTGAGTAGCCACCAGTGGCTCATGGTCACCAATATTGGGCCACAGTGAAGGCTTAACAGGCCCTGGATTCCTTTTAGAAGTAAATTCCAACAGAATAGTTACATTTTCTCTTTCCTCCTCTTCATAGATGACAATGCTTCTTTGCTTGTATAAAAATGAAGTTGGTTTTAGCTTAGGCATCATGGAAAATTGACAGTTTCTGTAATAAAATTTCACACATGGAAACCATGGTGAGAATCTTAGCAGGTGTAAAAATCTGACGAAGTTATTTCTTTAACTGCAACTTAATGGAAACTGCAGCAGCTGTTCCATTTGCGTGTTCTCCAGATCTCAGTGCCAGAAAGAATTGTTGGCAGCCACTGGAAAAGTATCAACTTACCTCTTCATTTGGGAAATGAAATAGAAACCTCAGCTTATTTCTAAAAGTTGCAGATTTGGTGAAAGTTAGCAGGGCAAACACATAAGCCGCTATTAAAATATTGATGGCTTCGGTTTTCTTAGGTGCTGCTGCTAACATCTGCAGAAGATTTGGACTGCACTCCTGGATTTCAGCAGAAAGTGTTCCATATCAATCAGCCAGCTGAATTCATTGAGGACCAGTCAATTCTAAACTGTAAGCAATGTCACTCGAAGATGCTTTTAGACTCTGCTCTTATTTGAATTTGCTAATGTATATGACTGTGTCTCAGGATGTGGTATTTCCTAAATTAAATGTTTTCTGATTATTTTTCATATGTCACTGCTTGACCCAAGATGGAAATTCTTGAATTAGGGGCTGGTCAACTTAGAGGTTAATAGAGTGATATGCATCTCTTTTTAGTATTTTATCATCAGTGGGTATTTGCAGACTGCTTTCAGAAAAGGGAGCTGTCAGCCTCCAATGAGAGTTCTACACTGTGCAAAGGAAATGAAATTCATTTCCCCTGGGCAGACCCCCAAGAGCAAAATCATTGCTTTCTTGCAGATTGCTGTTCTACCTGTAGTTTCTCATACATGGCATTAGATCAAAATAATGGTGAGAGTATGACATTGGCTTCCGGGAATTTTTAGACATAGGAATCAAAAACTCTTATTCTTAAGGCTAACAAGATGGTCTTTAGAAAGATTCAAAACCTCTACTGATTATTCTGTGGATTAAACTCAAATCCTCCCAAATTCCTATTGATTTATTTACAATATGCCTCCCTTATATCTGTGGTTATGATCTCTTTCTATTTTTAATGTCAATATTATATTGTTTTATCTTTAAGAAGTGTTAGGGTACATTGCTAAATGCATAACAAGTGCAGTGTTAGTACAATGGAATTTAAAATTGATGGTAGACAAATAACCGTTTAATTGTAGGCTCTTGAGTACCTTGCTTAACAGTTGGAAATGAAGAATATGGAAACAATTGATCTAAACTGATCAGATGCAGCCAGGCATGATGACTCACGCCTGTCATCTCACCACTTTGGGAGGCCAAGGAGGATGGATGGCTTGAGGCCAGGAGTTCAAGACCAGTCTGGGCAACCTGGTGAAACCCCATCTCTACTAAAAATACAAAACTTAGCTGGGCATGGTGGCACACGCCTGTAGTCCCAGCTACTCGGGAGGCTGAGGCAGGAGAATCGCTCGAACCCAGGAGGTGGAGGCTGCAATGAGCTGAGATCGCACCATTGCACTCCAACCTGGGTGACAGAGCGAGACTGTGTCTCAAAAAAATAAAATAAAATAAAATAAGCTGATCAGATGCTCCAAGGTCTTTGCAAGGAAGGTGATTCCACATTGGCCCTTGTGGTCTCAGGTTTGCCTTTGACACTAGCGAAGTTCCTTCAGTCCTATGGTATGTGGCTAACAAGTTTAAAGGAAAGAAAAAACAAAGGCACACTGGACTGGATTATTCTGTGAAGCTGGGACACACTGGAGGAGTCGAAAGGATCACATTAATGAAGACGCCCTGTTGAGCATCAAGGGAGCTGTCCAAGGTGAAGCCTGTGCACCTCCTGATGAAATGACGCCAATGAAATCGTTTCAGTAATTAGAGTCTGTAATGACAAGGTGCAGGGCTGGCACAATAAGTGAATTTCAATATGTGATTTCCTGCTAATTTGATCTCTAAGTATGACTCCTGGGTCTGGCCATCAGGAACCCTCATTTGTCTTTTCATTTTTGTATTTATCAGAATCAATATATTTCAACAGAACTTGATTTGTGAGAACCATTTTTCTGGCTCTCCTCTCCTCTCTTCCTGTATCTTCCTTTTATTTTTTTTTCTAAGTGATTATCCCAAATGGCATCTATGTTAACATGCTTGGAAATGCGAAGCCACCCTGAGTATGGAAATTAATAGAGTTGGTATGCAAAGTAGACCTATAAATGTGATTGCTTCTGTAATCTTCAGGATACCAAACAGCTTTTAATTTGCTGCTGAGAAGCTGGAAACAATCATACTATGGGGGATCTTTTTAATTTAAAGTAGGCCATACTGTACATTCCAGTATCACAGTTTTGTGTGTGTGTGTGTGTGTGTGTGTGTGTGCGCGCGCACGCTTTAATCCCCTAAGTAATTAAGTGGGTTATGGTTGTTGGTTCTGGGTAAGCTAGTAAATGCTAAATGGGACTAGGTTGATTATGAATGATAACACGTTCAGAAAAAAGTCAGTGACACGAGAATTGAGAACACTTAAATTTTTATGCTTGTGTATGAGTTGTTGGGTAAGCAAAATTTGAGTAGCACCTCTCAGTGAAACCGTATGTCCGTGTATATTACTAGAGTAAAAAAACAAATACAAAGCAGATATGGTTAGGTACTTTCAAGTTCATCTCAAAGCAATGAACATATTATGAGTATAGAGCCTGCAGATAAGGTTAATTGTGCCTAAATGAGGAAGAAAATTGTCATAGACTTGAGAATGCCTATTGAAAATAGTTTAGGAAAATCTGGATTTCCAGAAGTGGTAGCAGTGCTTTGCTTTCTTCCACTTGCAAGTAGAGGTAAAAAGCCCCAAATATTGAATAAACTTTTATACCTAACCAACCAATATTTTCAGCCAGTCTCGCTCTCCTCTCTCTCTCTCTCATTCTCAGTTTATTTCGTGTATGTCTTATAATGCAAAACAAAAACCTTCTGTCTCTGAAAAATGTGATTAATCAAGAAACCAATGAGTGATGTGTGCTATCAAATTGAAGACTCTACTGGCACAAGGCTAAATCTGAATGAAAAATGAAAAGAAACAAGTAGAACCAGAAAATTTAAAATGTATAGATTCCATTTCCTGAATCATTGTATACCAAAGATCCAGGAAATGGTTAGGGATATTTTAGTCTCATCTAAATATAGGTCAGTGTTGTATACCATAAGGAAACTAGATTAGTAACATCATCTTGTGCCCTACTCATGACATTTGCACTTTACATTTTTCCTTTATCTTTGCAATATTTAAGAGCTTTGGTTACCAATCATTGTGAACTTTTGTGTTGCAGAGGGGGTAAACACAGCATAACCAATCAATTGATATCTACACTCTTCACTCTTCTTTAAAGTTGTCTGAAAGTGCTGTCTCTTTGCCTGACAGACATAGTATATCTACCCCTACCTTAGACTTGTATTCATCCAATTCTGTGTTCAGCTTTTAGCAGGTTATGGAGAGTGTTTATTCTGTGGATGGCTTCCTGCTATCTTTGTTCAGACAGTAATATTTCCTTTTATCCTTTTTCATCTTCCTCCTCAATTTTCAATGACTTATCTTTTTCTACTTTAACTGTTACTAATGGTCACCTCCACTCCTTTTATTTCCCTAATATTTTATTCACTGTTATCTCTGAAACATCTTTCTCTCAGTTGTTCTAAAGCCTTTTATTTCCTTCACATCTGAATCACTCTTTATTCTACTCTCCTTTCCACTAACTAGACTTGCTTTCGTCTTAAAAAAGCCATTTTTCAACAAGCTGCTGGGATCAAAACATAGCATTTGGCTATTTCTTCTAACATAACCAGGGGGGCTCTTCACTGCATCTTTCAGAGAATGATGCAAAGCCCCCAACTCATGAAAACTTGCGTAAAACTTTCTTGGCTTTATCTCATTCTTGAAAGTTTATCTGGGAAAATGTGATCCTTCCCATTTTCAATGAGAAATACAGAAAGAAAGGAGAAGTCAGCTTAGAAGGCAACAACTCAGAAAGGAGGCATCCATTTAAGGTTTTTGAATTCAGAAAGGAATCTGTAAAAAGTTTGTGGGAGGGGTTTTCTAGAGGTCTGGCACACACAACTCCCTTAAATTGCCCAGCATTGTAGCTCTTGCTTTTCCCCAAACATGACAGTTGTGTGATCTGGGAGCTACAGAATTAGACAGCAACCCTGGTTCCATCCTGACACACAGAACAGAAGATCCCTAGTCTTAGAAGAATAGCTGTCTTGGGCAACTGACCAGCCACCCAGCTGGGATGGGAAGATACCAAGTGATAAAATCTGACTATCCTATGTTCTGCAAAATTATAAAACAGAATAGTGTGTTTTGCTACCATCAGCTCAGACCGATTTTTTCAGCAAATATAAAAATGTGTGGTCACTGAGCTCATTAGGAGAAACCATAGCCTTAACCTCCAGCCTCTATTAGTAGGGGATGAGTCTAGTCTTTGGTGTCCAGAAAGAAGACCCTCATTGGCCACATGGCCACCATTAGAACTGTACTTTTTTTTACCCTGTTAATTCTTTATGGATCACTCCTCTTAGGCCACCCATATGCAAACACAGACATATAGATACAGAGAAAAATTGCAGCATCTAAGTTTACCTACAATACAACTTGCATCACATGTTTAGTAAAGAACTTACATTAACCAGAGCAGGCTAGGCTAGGCCATGGTGTCAAACAACCCCAGTGACTTAACACAATGAAAGTTTGTTTCTCACTCAGATCATGCAGATGCAGTCGGGCTGGTCTCCTGGGTAACAACTCTCCTCCCAGTAGTTGCCCTCCATGCAAGAACCTGATGGCTGAAGCTACTTCCAGCTTGGTCCTGCCATCTTGTAGCTTCCAGCTTTTGTCACTGAGCTGGCAGACAGGGGAATAAGAAAGACTATGAAGAGGTCACTACATGTGTTTAACTACCTCAGCCCCAAAGTCGCATGTATCATTTCTGCTCACATTCTGTTATAAGATCTAGTCATGTTGCCAACCTAACTGCAAAGGAGTCTGGCAAACAAGAAGAACACATGGGAATTGATGTGCAGGATCACAGTCTCTACAAAGATCCTAACAAAATGATGTTGCCTATATCAGAAAGAGACATAAATAGAGACAGAAATGGACCACAAAGGAGCCAGCTGTCTCAGAGTAACCAGGGCCCACATAAGATGAAGTTAGTCAGTTTAAGCAGAAGAGCAAGGTCGTGCACCTGCGACTATGTCCTGCTTTCCTTAGTAGAGAAATCTTCCCACTGAACAGAATTAGCTTCTTAGAAACACTATAAGCCCCTCGCTTTGTGCCATCTTAGAAACACTAGGGGAGAGACCGCACCTACTTGTGGTTCTAGTAAAGATGGACTCCAGTTGTTTCCTCCAAATGTTTACAATACTGTGGTTAAGATCACACAGTTTTAAACTCATATCGACTAGAATTCAAATGTGCA